GGCTTGGCTATGGACAGAGAGGTGTCAAGAGTCAAGGATGATTCCCCTCCCCTCTCCCCTTCCCACTCTTCTTCCTCTCTTTCTTTTTTTAAGGAGGAGAGACTTGCACATGGATACAGGAAGAGGGGAGAAATCCGTGGCCGTGGGGTAACAGGACTGAGAGAAGAACCGCTTGATGGAGCCAGCTCTCAGGGGGTAGAGTTGAGAGCGCTTGTGGAAGGCCTGGCCCTGAGCACAGCAAGGGCCACCTCCAAGAAGGAGTTACGGGTGACTGTAAATACAGGCAGCAGGCGAGGGGGGCATTAAGGAGCCGGTGCCAGCCATGGAAGCCCCTTCAGACTCCAGGAGTTTATGAGTCTGGTGCCTGGCAGAGGGGGAGGTGTGATGACGTATCTTTGCAGCTGAGGAGACACCCTCTTCTGCCTTTTCCTTAGCCTGGGACGCCCTCCTTCTGTTCTGTCTTGTCCTCTTCCAGGAAGCCTTCCTGGACTGACACCTCCACTCTGCCCCTCCCAGCAGCTGGCTCAGCTCCCCATTCCTTCCTTGCCCCAGCAGAGGCCAAGAGCTACCCCCTGGTTCAGTATCTGTCTGTCTGTGTCTGGCCTCTGGAGAGAAAGCACCCGGAACAGGAGGGGAGGGGATGAAAACACATGTGAGTCTGTAAAATGGGTGGCTTCTTTCTCAGGGCTGCCCTTCCCCAGCTCTCAGGATGAGCTTTGGCTGGCCACAAGGGGGTGCTTGGCCAGAGAAGGCCTGACTGGCATGGTCTGGGCAGCCGGCTCAGTTGGCACGCTGGCATACGGGGCCCTACTCTGGCTGGGACCTTTGCTCCCTACACCGATGGCCCTGGCCTCTGTTGCCATGGCTGCCCTTTAGTTTGGGGTAAACAGAGCACTTCCTCCTCCTCCTGTCCAGCTTACTGACATGCAAGTGTCTCTCCAGGGCTGGGCTGGAATTTCAAGAGTGCAGCCCCCCCACCCCCCCGGCGCCAATTCTTGGGAAGGCACAAGTGGTGAGTCACTGAATTTAGGTTTCTTTCTACCACCTCACTGTTATCTGGTTGCCCCTGCTCCCCACCTGCCCTGCCTATTTCCTGCTGGAATTGGGAAGGGATGGAGATAAGGTCTGGGACTCATTTGGTTTTTAAACTGGGTGGTGGGGTGTAGGGAGGAGTCCTCCCAACCTGGATTACCTCCTTGGGGCTGTTTCTGGGCTGTAGAGACCTTCCTGAGGCCTATCCAATCCCTGGTATCAATGAGAATAATCGCAGCCTCTTTTCTCACTTATTTTCTGGATCCTGGGGGCCCAGGGTAAAGGAGAGGAGGACATAGGAAAAAAGGAATGTGGGGGAGAGGAAATAGGAATCAGAGGGGAGACGAGGACTCGTTGGGATAGAATAGAATCAGAGAACCATTCATTCCTTCCTTCTGTGAATTGAACCAATTTCTGTGCTGGGGACTGAGCAAAACAGAAATATGTAAGGCAGGAGCCTGCTTTTGAGCCTGCAGTAGGTGCTGGTGTGAGGACCCTGGACTTGAAATTTGGGGACTCTGTTTGAAGGCCCAGTTACTAGTTGCTGGGCAATTTACCGTAATGACACTGAACCCCCAAGGTCATTGTGAGGACCGAATGAGACAAATATGGGAGACTGCCCCATTAGCCCATGTTCAAGGCATATTAGATGCCTGTGGATCAGGTTTCCAATGAGGGAAGTGCTCAGGCAAGGGTGACCCAACCCAGGGGTAAAACAAAGGCTAGTTTTGGGGGTTCTCTGTGGGAGTGGTGATTTCCAGCAGTGGTGACCAGGGCAGGCTGTGTGGGCAGATGCCTGGTGTGTGATTTTCATTCAGTAAATGTTTGCAGAATGAATGGGGTGTGCTGGAGCCAGGGCAGGCAGGAGGGATAAGATTTCAGCAGGTGCAGGTGATAGGGAGGTACTGTGGGAGGGAAGGGCAGGGCCCCAGGGCTGGGGCAGGGAGGCAGCCAGTGCCAGGCAGGGCTCAGCTCAGCCAGAGGAGGAGTTTGACCTTTATTCTGAAGGCAATGGGAGGCTCTGAACTGGGGAGTGACTGGATCAAAGTGGTGTTTATGGAGGATCAGTCTAGCTGAGCCTGGCCAGAGGACAACTTAGAGCAAAGCTACTGGGGGAGTTACAGGGGGACGAGACAGAGGGACAGAGGGAGGATGCGTATGTGTCTTGGAGCTTCAGGCCGGGTGACGTCAGCTGACCCTCCACCCTGCAAAGGGCCCGTTCATACCCGCAGGTCTCCAGGACCCATCTCACCTGCCTGCAAGAAGGAGGAGGGAACATCACAGGGAGGGAGAGAATTTCTCAGGGACACAGAGAGGAAGGCAACACCGCCTCCTGCCTCCTCATCCCTCTAAGGGACTGGGAGCCCAGCTCAGGGTATGGGCGTCTGGGGGAAGACCAGGTCTGGAGCTAGAAACTGGATCCTTTGCATTTTGGGTCTTGCTCCCGTCCTCTAAGAGGAAGGGTAAGTCAATGTGTTTTTTAAAGCGAGGGAGATGTGCCTGGGTGCCTCAGTCGGTTAAGCATCTGACTTGATTCTGGCCGAGGTATAATGATCTCAAGGTCCTGGGACTGAGCCCCGCATCAGGCTCTGGGCTTAGCTTGGAGTCTGCTTGTCCTTTTCCTTCTGCTCCTCCCCCGACTCACTGGCTCTGTCTCTAAAATAAGTAAATACAATCTTTTTTTTTTTTTTTTTTAAGACTTTGTTTACTCATTTGACAGAGAGAGAGAAAGCGAGAGAAGGAACACAAGCAGGGGAAGGGGGAGAGGGAGAAGCAGGCTTCCTGCTGAGCAGGGAGCCCGATGCGGGGCTTGATCCCAGGACTCTGGGATCACAACCCAAGCCAAAAGCAGACGCTCAATGACTGAGCCACCCAAGTCCCCCTAAATAAATAAGATCTTAAAAAAATAAAAATAAATCTAGAGAAATAGGTAATGGTGGCAGAGAGAGAGGACCCATTACGCTCCAGAAACAGCTGGGCACGAACCCCAGAGCTCAGCAGCAGGAGGCTGAGATGACAGTGCTGTCCAGCCCTGGGACAGAACTTCCCTGGCTGGGGTTGGGGACGTGGGGGGGGGGGGAATTTCTGGCTTGGAGCTGGCTAGTAGAAGTTTGACACCCTTAGCCGTTGCTGGGACCAGTCATCCTGATCCACCTCTTCTCCCCCTTTGCTCCCAACCTCCTTTGGTCCAATCTTCTGTTGGACCCCACACCCAGGAGGCATGTTGCCCAGGCCCACCATCCCGGCAGCCCCCCAAGCTCTGACTCAATCTGAGTTCCTGGGAACCCAGAGATAGCCAGTTTTGCTCTCTGGAGGTTGGGAGATAAGGTTTATGACCCTGGATGGGCCCATTCCTAGTGAGGGAGTCTCCTCTATAGACCTATACCTCTAACTGCATTCCTCTGGGGGCCTGACCTTGCCCTGCCGCTAGGAATTACAGACCATCTGAGAGCACCACTTTCAGAACCTGCCAGACCCCCTTCCCTGAGGTCATTTCCCCATTGTCCCAGCCAGGCTGTGCTCTTGCCCCCTCGAGGCCTGCTGCCCCCACACTCCTCCATTCCTTGGCTTCTGGGCAGGCCTGACCCCATCGAAGTCTGAGTGGGGAGTTCCAGCACGGCAGCTCCTTCAAAGGAGCACCCCCTGCCCTAGTCACTCATTGCTACTCCTAGGATTCCTTAGATGAGCCAGTCCTTCTTTGAGTCTAACCTTTCTCCCCTTTCAATGCTCAGTGAAAGAGAGGATGCTGTCGCGTCCGCTGGCTAGTCCTGCGGTAGGAGGGAGCTACAAGTGACTGCAGAGTGTAGGGGGGAGTGAGCTTCATCACAGGGCCCTTTCATGGAGGGAGGGAGATGAAGGACAAGAGGAAGGGGGAGATTTTGAAGAGTTTGTGATTTTCTCTCATCACAGTAGGGGTCTGATATAGGGACTTTACGGGGCCAAGAAAAGCTCTGACAACTACTGTCATCCCATAATTTGCTTGACAGACGAGAGAACAAAAGCTGAGAGCCCAAATCAAGTATGATTTCAAGTTCACTGCTGTCTCTGCTGTGAAGAAATGATCACAGAGAGGGAACTCTGGGAAATTCAAAGTTCTAAAAACCAAATTGATTGATTGATTGATTGGGTGGGGAGGGGTAGAGGGAGAGGGAGAAGCAGTCTCCCTGCTCAGCACAGAGCCCAACTTGGGGCTCCATCTCATGACCTTGAGATCATGACCTGATCTGAAGTCAAGAGTCAGATGCTTAACCGACTGAACCACCCAGATGCCCCCAAACCAAATTAATTTAAATGAAATTAAAGGAATTCCAGAAATAAATGGTACTGGTCCTTCTTTATACAGACACAACTTCCCCTCAGAGAGGGGAAGTGACCTGTCCAGTGTCACGCAGCAATTTGGAGACTGAGTTGAGATTAGAACACATATGATTTGATTTCCAAGTTTATGTTTTTCAGCTATTCTATATTGTTCTAAGGATTGTTTAAAAGTAAGTATCAGAGCCATTTCATTTCATTTAATCACAAATCCAAGATCACTGAGTGGCAGTAGGAAGTGCAGAAGTGAAAGGACTTGAGAGTGTGGCAGCTCCCAGGGTGAGGAGGAAGGATGGAGAGCTGGGAGGACACTTATGCCAGTCAGCTTCTCAGCTGTTCTGGAATTCCTGGGTCTCCCCAGATCAGCAGGGTGGCCAATTCGGCAGGGCTTCCCTTCTGGAAGTCATCTTCCTTTATCAGAGGTGCTGGCTGATAGGAGTCAAGACTTTCATGCTGGCCTGGAGAATCTACATGGCTATCTCCTGCCTCTTTCAGCTTGGCTCTGGCTAGACCCAGGGGCCTGGGAAACCTCACTTTGGGTTTCAGAGCTAGAAAGGTTGAATTGAATTCTGATTGTGACACTTGAGTGCTTTGTGACCTTAGGGAATATTTTGAAACTTTCTGAGCTTCCCTACTGTAAAGGTGTAAAATGAGGCTATCTGTATTTTCCCTGTAGGCTTAAGTGTGAAGACTGAATGGGGCTATAAAAAGTCTATGGTGTGGGGAGTGCCTGACATCTGGTCTGATCTTGGAGGGAGAGGGAGGCAGGGAGGAAGGACATGGCTTGGGAGGCAGACGGGGCCCAGTTCGGCCTCTCCCAGATGCTCCAGGCTTTTCTTCCTGACATCTGGTCTGATCTTGGAGGGAGAGGGAGGCAGGGAGGAGGGACATGGCTTGGGAGGCAGACGGGGCCCAGTTCGGCCTCTCCTAGCTGCTCCAAGATTTTCTTCACCTCCAGACTGTTCCTTCAGCTCTAAAATGGAGATAATGTTTATTTCATAGTTTCCATAAGGATTAAATTTGTCTTTACTGTCTTAGGGGAACTCCTAGTCCCCTGGGGGTGCCTGAACCCACACCCCAGTCTGGCAGACCAGGTCAGAGCCGAGGATGTCTAATCATAGTGTGGGCTTAGAGGGCTGGGAGGAAAGCCTGAGAGGTCTGGGAGGGCTTCCTGAAGGAGGTGCCTGGGGTAGAGCCAGGCTGGAGGGTCAGAGAGAGAGAGAGAGAGAGAAGGAGAATCCCTAGGCTGGTGACCTGCATAGTGGGGGGGGGGGGGGGGGGGGGGGGAGGGGGGGGAGGGGGGAGAGAGGTTTTTGGAGCGGGCTGCTACGAGGAACAAGGGTCCAGCCATGGGTGGGAGGGGGTGGCTGGGGGTGGAGGGTCAGTGTGGCTGGTTATGGGAGCCATGGGAACCATGGACCCATGGATCTAGGAGGAAGCCTGGGGAGTTCGACTTCTGCAGCTGGACTCTTCCGAGTCAGAAGCACAGATGTGGGAGGGAAATGGCCTCTCCTTGGGAAGGACTTTCTCTCCTCTGCCTCCTAGGGGCTGGAGGCTGCTACCACAGCCCAGGCTTCTCTTAGTTTCCTGAGATGAATCACCTGGGAAACCTGAGGAGTCAAGGAAGGAGATGAGGCAGCTCCTGGCCTTGGGGAATAGATGGCTTTAGCCTGGAATTCTGTTGGGAAGGCAGAAACACATGATTTGTTGCCCTGGGAGCTTGCCTAATACTTTCCTGAGGCTAAATTGGCCTAGCCCCCCCACTGCCCTGCCTTCCAAGCCCATTCCTACCTTCCAGGTCAGCAGATTTGCCCGAAGACCTATGAATGAGTCACTGTGACCTGCTTTGGGGTTACCTTGAGCTTTAGAGACCACGGAATCTGGGGGGGTAGGTTGGTCACTAAGTGGTAGGTAGCAGGGCTTTCTTGGACCCCGAGCTGCTCATTTGTGAATTCATTCATCCTATGTTTGGTGGAGTGCCTGCTAGGCATTTCCCAATGCTGTAAATCTGGCCAACAACAAGACGATGTCCCTGCCTTCATGGGAGAGGTCCCTTAAGTCTGTCAGAATCCATACAGTAGGAGAGGTGATCTAGAGGTTCAACAAATACTAGTCAAATGAATACAATATGTATTTTTCAAATTGCTAACTAAAAGAGGAAAAATGTCTTTGGACCATTTCTTCTGGCTTATCCACAGGACGGCTTCCCTCGATGGAGGTAACTGGATACTGACTCTGTGGGAGAGCAGCGCTGGAAAGAGCATGCTCAGGTGTGGACTTACTCCAGACTCAATGTCAAGTCCTGAAGGACATTCCGTTTCCACACCTGTGAAACGGGCTTAATGGAATCCTCCTCATGGGTTATTTTAGGATATCCAATAATGTAGGCAAGAGCTCTGACACTTTGATGTTAGTGGGAACCCCATAAATGAGAGCTGCCCCCGTGAGCCCCACCATTCTCACCACCGCCATCACTGCCACCATCGCTGGCAGGGAACAGAGCCCTGGGTTGAAAGAGGGCAAAGGCAAGCTGTTTCCCTGGGCAGGGGTCAGTTTGCATGGCTGGCTCCCTAGGAATTGGATTTGCAAGCTTCTGTTTTGCATGTTGGCAGATTTTTGCATGCTCCCCTTTATTACTCTCTTCTAGAGTCCTCCTTACGGCCCCAGTTGCCACCTACCTCTAGTGACCCTCAGCCCTTCGGAGCCAGCTGGCACTCTCTCCCACCTGGGTACCTACTACCGTCGGTTGGGCAGGCACTTTGGGGGGCACAAAAATGAGTGAGATGCCATTCCATCCTGCAAGGGGGTGACCAGGACTTAAATTCTTACAAGGCCACTGTGTCAAAGCGGGTGTCGGCACAAGTTCCCGATGGGGGTGGGATGGGGAGGAGGGGCTGCTGGCCAGGGTGGGGGGTTGGGGGGTGTGGAGGGGTAGGGGTGGGTGGGGAAAGCTGCTGGAGGGAGGCTTTAGGAAAGGTAGGGGACAAGCATGGAGCAGTGGCTAGGGTCCAGCTAACACTGACTGACCTGCCGCTGCCAAGCTCTGGTCCCCTATCTCCTGTTCACCTCAACACTCTTGGCTGGCTGCCATTGTCTGCATCTTCAGCTGAGAAAAAGGAACATTCAGAGAGATTCAGTCCCTTGCCCAACTTCACATGCTTAGGAAGTGGCTCCCCAATTCTTCTTCTTTTTTTTTTTTTTTAATTTTTTGGAAAGATTATTTATTTATTTGACAGAGACACAGCGAGAGAGGGAACACAAACTAGGGGAGAGGAGAGTGAGAAGCAAGCTCCCCGCTGAGCATGGGGGGCAAGGAGCCCCAAGCGGGGCTTGATCCCAGGATCCTGAGATCATGACCTGAGCTGAAGGCAGACGCTTAACAACTGAGCCACCCAGGCTCCCTCCCCAATTCTTCTGATTGCATTCACTCTCCTGTTGCTTTCTGTCACCCCTGGCTGTGGGGCAGGGGAACACGTGTGGGGACAGTGCCAGCCATGAGGAATCCGCAGGGTTCAGATTCCAGTTCTTCTCACAGCTGAGTGAACTTGGGGGCACCTTTCTTTCCCTGCCCAACAGGGAAGGTTTTTGTGAGTTTAAAGGAGGTGTAGTGAGTGGTGCCCACCGTAGGCCCTCAGAACACGCCCCTCTGACGCTAGAATCCCCGTGGCCTTCTGCTTGAGCCATCCTCACGTAGAACAAGTCACAACTTCCCAGAAGATGATGCAGATTCCACTCGCACAAGGCTCGAACTTTTGGAAAGCCTTAGCTCCCAGGGACAAGTATCTCTCTGGGACTTCTCCCTGCTGATTCTAGCTGTCTTTCCTGGGCTGTGAAGATGAATGTCCCCCCTTTCTCCTAGGGGTCCAGCCTCTTCTCCTCCAGGACTCACTTCCTCAGTCCTGGGGTTGTGTGTCTCGCAGGCTTCTCATCTTCCTCCTCCCCACCACCATCCCAGGCATCTCCTTGCTTTGGCTTCCGTGTATCCAGCCCCCACACCCACCCCCGAGTCAGACAAGGGTCAGACCCAGTTCTCCTGGCACGTCATGGTCAGTGGCGAGCAAATGGGCTCTCCCACGCTTGCGTCTGCTGTCGAGGACCATGGAGGGTTTCGTGGCGGCCTCTTTGTGCTGTGGCCGCAGGGGAGGTGTGTGCTTGTGCGCACCTGGGATGAACAGTGGTAAGGAGGCAGGTGCAAAGCACCTGTTCCAGGGAGGGTCTGCACATTCACTCCACGTCCGTCACGCTGGGCTGGTGCCCTGCCAGGCGGAGGAGGCTGGCCCGGAGATCAGAACCAGACACTTAGAAGACCCTGCCCTCTCTGCAAGGAGGTGTGGTCTGATGCGGGTAGGCTGACCATGATGGTAGGGGGAGGTCCAGCGGCTATGACAAATGCATAAAGTGCATGCACCCATCTGGCAGGAGCAGAAGGTGCTAGGGGGAAGCAGGGAGCAGCCAGAAGTGCAGCTGAGTCATCTCCTGGCTTCCCTTCACCTTGGACTTGGCCCTGCAATCAACCTCTACATCCTGTTGGTTCTTCCTTCTTACCAAAGCTCGATTCTATGCCTGCCTTCCCACCCCACGGCTCCTGCCATTCCACACAGCTCCTCAGGAGCCTTCTGCAAAAACCCCACACCGCCGCCCATCCTTCCTCTCTCCAGTCTGGCCTCTGCCATCTCACCTGCCTACGCAGTTCACTTTCTCTTGCTCAAGCTTTCACCTCATGCTTTCACCCTGTCACCTTCCTGCCGCACACCTTCTTGGGACTCTGCAACATACGGGATAAACTGTCTTGCCTTTGAAACCCTCAGTCCCACCTGCCTCCTCACCACTGGTCTTTCCTCTCATTCCATAGGATTCTGGTTCTTGTCCAGTGAGTCCTCGCGTTTCTAGATCTTTTCATCCATACTCTTGTTTTGTGAAAACTCAGTCAAGCCCAGATCTATTTTATTATAATTTTTCCCTGTTCTTTAAAGATTTTATTTATGGGGCACCTGGGTGTCTCAGTCATTAAGTATCTGCCTTCGGCTCACGTCATGATCCCAGGGTCCTGGGATTGGAGCCCTGTGTCGATGGGCTCCTTGCTCAGCGGGGAGTCAGCTTCTCCCTCTGCCCCCTCCCTGCTCATGCGTGCGTTCTCCTCATCTGTCTATCTCAAATAAATAAATAAAATCTTTAAAAAATTTTTTAATTTGTTTATTCGTCAGAGAGAAACAGAGCACAAGCTGGGGGTGGGGGTAAAGGGGGCCAGAGAAGCAGGCCCCCCTGCTGAGCAGGGAACCTGATGTGTGGCTCAGTCCTAGGACTCTGGGATCATGACCTTGGCAGAAGGCAGAGGCTTAACCAACTGAGCCACCCAGGAGCCCCTAGCCCAGACCTATTTTTTTTTAATTTTATTTATTTATTTATTTGACAGAGACATAGCGAGAGAGAGAACACAAGGAGGGGGAGTGGGAGAGGGAGAAAGCAGGCTTCCTGCTGAGCAGGGAGCCTGACTCCGGGCTTGATCCCAGGTCCTGGGGACCATGACCAGAGCCGAAGGCAGATGCCCAATGACTGATTCACCCAAGCGCCCCTAGCCCAGACCTATTTTAAAACAGCTCTTCCCTTCCTTTGAAGTCCTAGTAGCATATGTCTGGATCACTTATTTTTCTGGAATCAATATTTCATTGATAAGGTACAGAAGGTAGGCTTTGGCCAGGCAGAATTTATATTTATACAAGGGCTCAGTGTGCACACCCATATCTTTATACCCTTGTGGTCCTCTAGATTTCCACGCCTTTCTCTGTGTACATTCAGGTTAGTGTAGGCAGTGAACACCTGTTGTTTTTAATCCATCCGACAGACATCTCTTCCACCTTTTTTGGTGAATCACCTGTTTCCGCTCCCTTCTATTATATGGGTTGGGTGGGGCTGACCACCCTTCTCCAGGGACTGGCCGTGAGTGAGATCTGGTCTAGTCCAGATTTACAGTCTTCTGGTGCCCTGGCCATAGCGATTGTTTCCTGGATGAGCACGTGGCCTAAGCCAGCCCTGTGAGAGTCAGCCTTGCAGCTTTAGCTGGAAGGGTTGGGGAAGAGGTCCTCCTTTGGTGGTCATCCTTGCTGTAGCACGGGGCTGATCTGCCCCAGAAGGAAGCTAACACGGAGGAAAACTGGAAAAGTAGAGGAAGACAGTCCTGATGCCATCCCTGAGCCCCTCATTTTGGCCATGCCAAAAGTCACATGCACCCCTGGTCCTCCCAGGTGTGTGAGCAAATAAATGATCTCTTACACTGAAACCCGTGTGAGCTGGATCTCAGTTGCTTGCAGTCAGGAGTTGTGAGCAATCATGTGTATCTCTGTGTTGGGGTGTGGATGATGCTGCTTGTGCATAGGGGGGTGGTGTACACTGAAGAGTGGTATGTATGTGGCTGTGATGGCTGGGCAAGTTGAGGTAGGTGCACACAGTCACGTGAGGGCAATGTGTGTGTGTGTGTGTGTGTGTGTGTGTGTGTGTGTGTCTGCAGGGCAAGGACAAGTGACTAGCTGCATTGGTACGCATGTGCATGGGTCCGGGGATGGCTTATATAGGTTGAGGTTGTGTGTGCACAGGCGGGGGTGGGTGGGCATGGGAAGGGTTGTTCCTTCCGGCAGAGCACCTGCCTCCTGTGTGTCGTGGGGGCAGGAGTCCAGCTTTGTATGTCTATGTACCCAGGGAGAATCCAGCCATTGCTAAAAAAAAAAGCAAAAACCAAAAAACAAAAAAACCCCCTGTTTATCGTCATTACCTCTCCTCTTCACAGGAAAATCCTCATTATTTTGGGGCTGAAGCCAAATTCCTTAGAATCTCTGAATGATCTGTAGAATCATAAAACTTGTGGATGTTCTTGAGAAGGTCAGAAATATCAGAGGCTGTTGAGACCAACCCCTAACATCAGAGGAGGAAATCGAGACTTGGGCAGTGACACCTTGTTTTCACTTCCTCCTACCCCAGCAGGCAGGGTGGGGCCGGGCAAGGCTGGCATTGGGGCAGCTCGCTTTTGAGGAGATTGATCCTCTGTCCTGCCTCTCTGTGGGCCGTGGTTACTTTTATGGTGGCTGATTAACCTCAGGCTGTGCCTAGATACCCAGGTATTTATGGCTCCCCTTGATGGGTGTCCTTGATCCCTGAGCCTTCTCAGGAGGCTGTGCTCTAGCTGTTGGCACCCATTTCCTTCCTGTTCCTCCTGCAGCTTCTTACCTCCCCAAAACAGACTGGTGTCCCCAAGCCAAAGTGTCCCAGCCACCATGCTGGAGAGGCTGTAAGTATGCGAAGTCCTGGGGCCAATAAGCCCTCTGAATGTCTGAGCGGAGGCCTCAGGCAGCCATAGCCTCTGGCCTGACCCCCTCTGGTCTCAAGCTGAGCCTTTCATTGACCCCCGCCTGCCATACACAAATGATCATTCCTTGTACACCATGATTTGTGATAGGGCCATTCCCAACCTAAGCATTGGCCCTATCCCTGGATGAGGTGGAGACAGGACAAGCATCTCTCAGAGGACTATGCTTTGTGCATGACTTTGCATGACTTCCCCAGTGTTGTGCCACTTGCTTTTCTGTACCAGGCATAGAAGATCATTGCTCCTGCATATCAAGAGAGCAGGAGAGGAGCCCCTCTCTTCACCCAGGGGTGGGATGGGTGTCCGGGCTAGCATGTTAGTGTGTGCC